ACACAAAAATGAATAAAGAAAGATGGAAAAAAAACAATAAGGAATGGTATTTAAAATAAACATCCTGAATATATTAATTTTTCCAAAATTACTACAAGCTAATGAGTATAAGAATGGAAAATATTCCACATATTTGAACATAATATTTTTAAAACAAAACATAATATATCATCTATTTCATTTTTCACTACATTCTTATGACCAGCATTTTGCTAATTTATGGCCTATTTTTATTTCCTTGTGTATTGTGTCAATGTAACAGAGATATGAACTAGAATTTTCCCAATTCATTTGGAATGTCCATTTATCTCATATGTTGGTCCTTTTCATCTACATAATTATTGTTCTTTAAATCTAATTGCATAATTCCAGGTCCTCCCTCCTAGTGGAATGCTTATAAACATAGTTTTGAACACTCAAAATGTCCCCAATTAAACAATTCAGAACCATCACAATTGTTGGCATCCTGTTTTCACACATTCTATTTGAATAATATATGAATGCAATTATGACATGTGCTAGAGTTGATCAAGGTTTCTTTTAGGATGACTGTGGCAGAAAATTATTAGGATACAGACAGAGAAGCAAAGTACTTCATTGAAACATGCAGAAAAAGAGATGGAATTCTTCATGTATTCCTTAGTTTATTTTGCCTTTTCAATGTTGTAACTGAAACAGTCACAGTTGTAACGGTGAGGGCTACACTATGCACAAGATATAAAGTCTGTGGCATGGAAGGACTAGTAAGTAGCCAGCAAACAGAGTACAGCTTTATTCTGCGTATTCTTCATCCACCGGGCACTGTTATTCTTCATACTTTATTCTGCTGTTTTTTGTTTTATTTTGTTTTTGTTTTTTTCCTTTTGGAGATCATCTCAGAGTTATGTTTGGATTTTATTACAGAAGATCACTGCCCTTCCCTAAAGGGAAGAAAAACCAAATAGTTCCTACAATCACGTATAATATCTAACATTTCTTGTTCTAGGATTTGCATCACTTTTATTTTCTTCCATAAAATAATGGTCATTATTTGGTAAGGACAGAAGAACTTCATGAAATTTTGACAAAGCTCTCTGGGTCATATTGACCTCTCTTTGATCTCATTTTCACTTACAGTCCTCAGCTTCATCACACACTGGCTTCAGTGTCTATTTACCTCTGCCCTTTGCATCTGTTTCATATTAAGGGGAAGGACCAGGCCTCGACCATGTATTCTGGCAGCTAGCAAAACTATATACACTCTGATTAAATGAGTTGCCCTCCATCATGCCTTAACATTTTTTAAAGCATTGAAAATGATAAGCAATTTCAATGAAATTCTCACTGCTCTTTCTCTCCTCATAGACTGTAATAAATGCCAATGATGGGAAGCTCTGAAGGCTCCCTGTCTACTCTTTGCCCATGAGAACTGGACCTGATGCATTAGCAAAGCTGTTCAGATAGCCAAGGTAGTTTTAGAAAGATATTATTTGGTCTTCTGCCTTTATGATCCCGCTATTAAGGATAACCTTGTTATCCACTTCTTTCCCATTTCTTTCCACACTTTTCACAAAGACTTTAAAAGCATGCTCACATTCCCCTTAATGCATCCTAAGGGGTTAGCACTTATTTCCTCTTTTCGCACTTCTCTCCAATAGTTCATCAATGTTTTAAGGAGATAATTTATGGAAAATTTTGTGTGCAATGATGGACTAATTGCTGGACTAAAATTAAATAGGTCGTAGCACCATTTATGTTATACTCAGTATGATGGCAAGTGCAGTTTACTCAAGCTTTATACATCAAAAGCATTCCAAGCAGTACAGTTTTAACTCTTGTTCTCTTGTGGCAGAAAGAGGATCATTAAAGAAATAAACAGATGACTGGATTAAAGTGCAAAGCACCAAGACTGGGTAGCTTAAATTTCAGTGCTTATCACAGCATATAAACACAATAAAACACTGTCTGTTAATGATGAACTTTCTGAACAACAGACACTCCATGCTATAAATGCTAGAAAATCCCAAGCGTTGATCCTCTAAAGGACGCACTTAGCTTATAAGAACTAATGAAGTGACTCTGAATTAATATTTTTGGTGAAGGCCTTCATAGTTCTTATGGTATTTCAGGATAAATATTACAACTGCTTTTACAGCATAGTTTTTTCAAGTGAAGATATACACTATGACTTATAATTGAGTCAGTAAATTTTATTCTTGAATTTGAAATTTTACATACACAACCTGAAGTCACATGTTTTTTTTATATAATTATAAAATTAGATACATTTATCAGAATATGCTATCTAAAGACATGATCCACATCATTCCCTGGAGTTTAATGTCAAAGTGGTAATCTCATAACCTGAGAAACATTCAGCTCTCAGGAGACAAGGCTACATGGTTTCAAAGATGAAAAAAATCCAATTCTGACTTCATATTACCACTGAATATACTCATGTACATTGGGATATTACTGGAAGTATTTCGATGTGTGTGTGCGTGTGCGTGTGCGTGTGCGTGAGCGTGAATACAGATATGGTATCAGGCATGCACATAATTAGGCAGGTATGTGGACCACTTTGTAACTGCAGAGACCATGCGAGAATGTATACTCTTCTGCTCTATCACAGTCTGCCCTATTCCCTTGAGACAGGGTCTTTCACAAAATCAAATGTTTCACCATTTTTTGTTAGGTTAGTCAGTCAGTAAGTCCCAGACATTCCTGTGCCTCTCTTGCCCATGCACCAGTATTTCAGGGACACACTTTTTTTTTTTTTTTTAATTTGATTACTGGGATGAGGACTCGGGTCCTTATGCCTGTGTAGGAAGTGTTGCTAGGTAATTATAGGGTTTGCATCATTTTATTTTCTTCCATAAAATAATGGTCATTATTTTATGGAAGAAAATGCTGTGGGATGGTCTGTATGTCAAATTGCTCTCATTGGTCATTAAATAAAACACTGATTGGCCAGTGGCCAGGCAGGAAGTAGGTGGGACAAGAAGAGAGAAGAATTCTGGGAAGCAGAAGGCTGAGGGAGGGAGACACTGCCAGTTGCCGCCATGACCAGCAACATGTGAAGACGCCAGTAAGCCACCAGCCACGTGGCAAGGTATAGATTTATGGAAATGGATTAATTTAAGCTATAAGAACAGTTAGCAATAAGCCTGCCACGGCCATACAGTTTGTATGCAATATAAGTCTCTGTGTTTACTTGGTTGGGTCTGAGCAGCTGTGGGAATGGCGGGTGACAAAGATTTGTCCTTACTGTGGGCCAGGCAGGAAAACTCTAGCTACAAGAAAACATTACTGTTGAATTTTTAATATTCATCTTAACAGGTACTCTTTTGAATTTCTAAATGAACAGGTCTGGGTTAGAAACAGATTAATTAAAAAAATAATTAGTAAGGGACGTCATGCCTGTGCCTTCCTCTCGCACCTGCCTATTTTCCTCATGTGCTGGCCGGAGTCAGTGACAAAGACACAAACAGGTAACACACAATGGAAACTGATTTGTCTTGAGTAGTTAGTTGATGAAACAGAGACATCTACAACTGTGTGTAATAGAATATCCACAGGATATAATAAATCTGAGCTCTAACTACAGGCTGTCATGGTAAATTGAGCTTCTCCAGGTTCAAATAGCTGCAGGAGATTCAGCTTTCAAGTATTCAAGTCCAGAGTGTCATCTCTTTTCAACTTTCAAATACCTATGAAGACAGTGATCTGGCCTTGAGTCTCTTAGGATCTAGTCCATCCTGGAAGCATATGGCCCCATCAGAAAAATAGATTTTGATTTCTCTCTCAGTGATACCCATGATTACAGATATTGTTAGATCTTGTGGAAAGGCTGTGAAAGACAAGGATTTCACAGGAATAGCCAGAAAGCCTTATTTCTCCATAATATCCCTCATTATTAACAAACCATATTTAATAGACCTAACTCGATTAGAATAACTAGTGACAGCTATTCTTATTTACTTAAATCACTTCATGCACACATTTAAAAACAAGTCAAATATAAGAGGAATTCAACTTTTGTATTGAGTAATCCAAGAACTTTTGTAGTTCAGTTCTACCCTATTTTTGAAATATTATACTAGCTTTTTTATTATACATGAATTTATCCATTTTATTTATTCACATTACAAATCTATATCTTTAAAGAAAGAATAACAACAACCATGTGGTGGGTATAATGTAAGTACAGAGTGTTTAATGTATTTCTAAATTAATTAGAACAAAATCTGGGGGAACATGATAAGGATTCCAGTAAGTACCCTATCAGGTGTCCTGAGCACCATGCTCAAGGTTCAGGCAGAAGCTTTGCTTTGCCAGTGGCAGCACAAACACCTATGTGGATCACAGAGATCAATAGTTTACAAGATACACACTCACATCTCTCACTCAGCTCAAACTCCTAACATTACAAGTTATTATGCGCTCTTCTGCAGCATGCCTCATTATTAGAGATAATATATGTGGAGCCATTGCATCGTGCCTGGCATACCATTAACACATAATAAATTGCAGCGTCTGTTAGGGTATTGTTTGCTCATACCCACTACAAATGTCAGGGGAAAATGAAGCCATTTGCAGAAAAAGGAATGTTTCTTTGCTGGAAAAACATAGCTTAGGGTCCTAATGATATATCATCTAATTAGGTGAGTCATTAACACCTCATGGTTCTAAGACTTACCTACATAAGTGTTAAATGCATCTTAAAAATATCAGGGCACTGTTCCTGTATAGTAAGGTAAGATAAAGAAGAAAACAGTTGAGAGTTGCCACATTCTAAAAGTATCCTTAGTTGCTAAGTGGGGTATGGAAAATTACCTGGGAATTCAGGAACAGAGTATCTGAAAACAGTGAACATGCTCTGAAGGAGGAGGGAGAGGGAATACAGAAGGGGAATCAGGAAGAAAGGTATATTGCACATATTCTTTTATATGCAGGACCTATCTATCACATATCTTCTTGTCTGCCTGTCTTTAATCTATCCATCTATCTATCTCCTACAGAAGTAAAAGGACTGGCGAACAGGAAGAAATGGAGAGAGGGACAAGCATGAGCAATGGGGTGTAAATACAAACAAAGTATAATGATACAAATTTATATAAAAGGATCGTAATGGAGCCCAACATTCTGCACTAATTGAAACAATAAACAACGTGATCTAATGAACAGAGGTTGAGTTTTCAATCTTTATTTTTATTCATTTATTGAGACAGAATTTCTCTGTGTAGCCTTGCCTGTCCTGGACCTCACTCTGTAGACCAGGCTGGCTTCAAACTCTCTGCCTGCCTCACAGATGTTTGGATTAAAGACATGCCACCACTGCCCAGCTGTGTCTGCACTCTTAACCTCTGACTGCCTACAGACTGAACTTTGCTGTTTGAGACATGTGTTCCTACTGCACTACAGACTGCTCTTCTGACTCCAGAGCTCATTGAGCTCATTTAGAAATAAATATTTAAAACTCCAATGAGTTATGTGTGTTATTAATTACCATTTTCAAGAAGGTATTATATATTACCTAGGAATTTAGCTTTTCCTAATTTAGAATCACAAATCCCAAACATTTAGTTTTGCTTGTTTTTGTTTTTGTTGGGGGTTTTATTTAACTACACAGATACTTCAAAGGTGGTTTTGGTGCTTAGAAATGCCCAGTTCACCCACCCACCCCCACTCCACCCAGAGGTCACTGTTACAAAACTGGGCTAAATGCTACTAGAAAGAATTGTGAATTGTTGATAGTACATTGAGGCAAAATCCACTGTGGAAATACACTTTACACCTGTGCATGTTATTATGCTATGTCACACTTACCTTTCTTTTTGCCATAACAAAATATCCAACAAAAGTAATTGCATAAAGGAAGGGCTTATTTCAGCACACAGGCCCACACTCTGAGAATACAGTCAAGTGTGTTTGGAAATCCTGACAGCAGGAGGTTGTGTGGCTGGTCACATTGCATCCGAGAGAGCGGTAACTGCTCAGCTAGCTTTCTCCTTTTTACCTATTCCAAGACCCAGACTGGAATGTCACCATGTGGTGGTATTGTGCTCCCCAAAATACTGTTTACCCTAATAAACTTATCTGGAGTCATAGAACAGAACAGCCACTAGATACAGAGGCCAGAAAATGGTGGCACACACACCTTTAATCTAAGCATTCAGAAGGCAGAGATCCATCTGGATCTCTGGGAGTCCAAAGCCACACTGCAAACAGCCAGGCATAGTGACACATGCCTTTAATCCCAGGAAGTGATGACAAAAAACTGAAAGGTACATAAGGCTTGAAAACCAGGAACTAGAGCTGGTTAAGCTTTTAGGCTTTTGAGCAGCAGTTCGGCTGAGATCCATTTGGAGGAGGACTCAGCAGTTTCCCGTCTGAGGAACAGGTTCAGCTGAGGAATTGGGAAGGTGAGGTGGCTGTGGCTTGTTCTGCTTCTCTGATCTTCCAGCATTTACCCCAATACCTGGCTTCGGATTTGATTTTTATTAATAAGATCTTTTAAGATTCATTCTACAGCACCACCCTCATGTGAGTCTTCCCATCTGATTAAGCCAGTTTAGAAAGTTTCTCAGACAGGGCCCAGAGGCTTGTCTCTCTGGTGGTTCTGGACACTGTCACATTGACAATCAATCCTAACCCACCACCTATCCAGGTTCTCTGCAGACTAGTTCACACTGACATTGTTCATTTCTATAGCACTTCTATATTACTTAAAGTGGGAGGAAGGAGGTTTACCTTCCAGGATGGGGTTTCCAGGAGCCGCCCCTCCCCCTCCACGAAAAAAGAAACACTGTGAGTATCTGTCCACTGATTAATGCTCCAAGAAAATATTTCCATTCATTTTAAGAAAGAGAAAATTCAGGCAATGCCACTCAAAGGGGATTGTTTTAATACCACATATTAGTTATATGCGTTAGAGGAATTTGGGGCTCCTGGGTTTCCTGTTAGCAGTTCTGCAACCAGAGAGCACGAGGAGCATCTCCCCTTCACATTATTCCCTCTGCTAAGAGTAAGCAGCAACAGGAAATTTGGTGTGGGGACTGATCAAAGACAAAGACTTGTGATGTAAGTTTCCTTGGCGGAGATAAAGCAGAGCTGCATGAGGAGGTGTGTCCTTGTTAGCATGACATCATGTAAGGGTCATATGACAAGGATATCACCATCCAAGACAAGATGATGAAAGGTAGGATGTCTATATGTCAGCGGTATTTGATAAGTACAGAGGTTCAAGAGTTCAGCAAAATACATCAAAATAGAAAATATTAGATTATGCTACTTTTAAAACTAGTTGTATAAAAATTAAAATTTGGTGTGCTTGGATTTTTCATTTTTAAATTTTTGCTATTATTTTATGTGCACTGGTATTTTGCCATGGGTGTTGGGTTCCCTAGAAGTGGAGTTACATACCGTTTTCAGCTGCTTTGTGGGTGCTGGGAATTGGACCTGGATCCTCTGGAAGAGCAATCAATTTTTTTAACCTCTGAGCCATTTCTCCAGCCCTGGTTTTTTTTCTTTAAAAAAAAAATATTTTTTGATTGAAAAGAGACTCTTCTCTGTCTCACATGACACATCCCAGGCACAGCTTCCCCTCCCTCCCTCCCCGTGGACTTTTCATTCTTAAAATCTGCTCTGAACCCAAGCATGGTGGTTCATGGCTGAGACAGGAGGACTGCCACTCCAAAGCCACCTTGTGATAGAGTCTTATTTGGTCTCAAGAAAAAGACTCTGGGGCTGGAGGGATATCTCAGTAATTAAGAAAACATACTGAACTTGCAGAGGATTAGAATTGTGTTTCTAGGACCCACATCCACATCCAGTGGCTCACAACTATATGCAGCAGCAGCTGTGGAGGGATCTGATGCTTCTAGCCTCCACAGGCACCTACACACACACACACACACACACACACACACACACACACACACACACATTTATGCCCACATGCATACACACTCACACACAAATACACACAGACATATACAAACACACCTGCACAAACATATACACCTACACACACACACACACACACACACACACAAACACACACACACACACACATGCACACATGATTTAAAATAAATTTAAATGAATTAAAAAAAATGTCTATGAAAATATTAAAGAAAAACATCGATGGGCTATGTGTTTAGTTTGTCTTCCACTGGTACTGCAAGCTGCATTCTCAAAATGAGAATGGCCATGTCATAGCTTCACTGGAGGACTTCTACAGTGATAAAATAGTGAAAATGATGCTTTCAAACTAGGAGGAGATAGCTATGTTCTGTGTTTTCTTAATGCCAATAAGTAAAACACTAGCTAAAATTAAGTATTAAAATTATAACATATCTATTTTTTTTTAATTTTAAGTTATTTGTTGTCCTTGTGATAGTTCCAGAAATCAAATAAGTTTATGTTTCCTATAACATTATGATGTTTTATTTGAAAACTGTGTAAGCTACATGAAGGAAATTCTGATGAGCTAAAAACATAGCAGTGTGCGTTGGGCATAGTTTTGTGTCCATACAAGTTTTAATCTATATGTTGTATATATAATAGAATGATTTATGCTTGATTACACATTTACTTCTTTGTAAAAATGATCTTTTTAAATTGTGTGTATGGTTGGGGCAGGGAAGCGCATAAGAGTTCAGGTGTATGTGAGTCCAGAGGCCAAGGGCACTGCTTTCCTGGAGCTGGAGTTACAGGCAGTTGTGAGCCAACAGATGAGACTCTGGGAGCTGAACTTGGATCCTCTGCAACAGCAGTATAAGCTCTTAACCACTGAACAATCTCTCCAGCCCCCAATCTTAGTTCATAAAATTGGAACGAACTGACTATTGGGCAAAGTTAGAATTTGTATATTGAATGTGTGTGTGTGTGTGTGTGTGTGTGTGTGTGTGTGTGTGTGTGTGTTATAGTTTGGGTATTTCCACCAAAACTCATATTGAAGTATAATCTCTGTTGTGATTGGGCTTATGATGAGAGAGATGGGATACACAAGCGGTGATGAGGTCATGGGGGCTCTGTCACCAGGAATTGATGATTTCATGTATAAATGAAATGATTAGTGGTTAATAGGATAATGAATTATTTCAATACTGGGCCTGTTATCAAAGTCAATTGGAGTGTTTTTTATTTGTGACCCAAAATGATATCCTGTATGGATTGGGACTCTGTAGAAAATTTCCTTCAATATGAAAACCCCACTATATCTGACCACAAGGCTTCTAGCCTCTTGAACTAGGTAAAGTAAACCTTTGTTGTGTAAAAACTTGTCTGTCTGTTAAGCTGTAGCAGCAGATGGTGTCTTGACTGCCTTCCCTCTAACCGCCTCTCTGGTCCCCAGCACTCCTCCTCTCATTCATCTCTGATCCCTTTAACTGAGACCTGCCCCTACTCCCAGCTTTGGTGAAACTTAAACATCCTTTCTCTCTCAATCTCCCTAAAGCTAGAGTTAAATGACCTTTGATTTGCTCTGCTTCAGGACTGACGTTCTATCGTACAAAATTGCTAACACTTTATGGAATCCATAATAATTCTAACATATTTAGAAAAGTGTTCCCAAACTACATCCTTAATGAACTGTGACTATCGGGGTCTTCTATATTCCCAGAATTTGACCCTAATTAATAAGTAAATAAACAGACTTCTTGGAATATATTTAAGTTGTCAAGATAAGTATCTCAGTGTTTGGTATTAATTTGGCATTGCATACTTGGCTCTAAAATATTATTAAATACATAAATTAAGTTTAACCTCAGAGATATTTGAACTTACAAATATAATAAATAATTGATTTATGGAGAAAACAGGGAAACTTTTGCAGCATAAGCACCTGGCCACAATAATCAATTAATGAAAGAAGCTTTCAGACCTTATTGAAGTTTTCTGATGCCAGCTCTCTCTGCACTCTATGATGTCATGATCTATTATAACACAGAATGAGGGCCAGGCAGCCTGAGCTCAGGACAAGCAGCAGCAGCCAATCTCTGTGCATCCATTTCCCCAGCTGCAGAATCCAGAACAATGATTAAATAATAGAAATGACAGGAGTCATACACTTTAGTTGTTGTTGTTGTTGTTGTTGGTGGTGGTGGTGGTGGTGGTGTGTGTGTGTGTG